ATATAGTATATTTATGAAAGTTTTCCAAGGAGCCGTCCTCGTTCTCTCAAGCCTCACGAAATTAAATCAAGTGTTTTTTTTCATAAAAATTAACTATGACAAAGTTATTCATGTACAGGGTTCTCCCCAAGCTGAGCCAATATGTATTACATGAGAAGTTACTAGGATGCGCACTAGGCATTTTAAATTTGGAAGTGGTAAGCAATACAATACAAAATCCTTTATGAATGCAAAGTCGTGCATTTAGGTAACTAATAAAATGTTACAGATTATCTGAGCCAACATGGGCTGGACCCCTACTGTGCTTAATGTAAAACAAAGGCAACTTGATCTTGTACTGTCAAATATGTCTATAGTTGAAATAAAAAAATGTGAAGATCCACTTCTAGATGAGGATCCGTACCATCCTGCCCTGAATATGTTTATACCTGTATTATTTAAAAATATAACTAGTAATGTTTACAGTCAGCCTGTATATATCTATGATTACTCGAAAGAAGATGTTTATAAGTTATACAATCTGTTAGAAGATGTTGACTGGTCAGATCTTCAGAAAGCTGAAGATGTGAATACATGTACTGACTTATTCTATGAAAAGCTTTATGCATGTTTAGACCAAGCAATACCCAAAAAAGCAGTGAATAGACTCACGTATAATGGTGGCAATTATCCAATTTACTTTTCTTTGGAACTGAAGAAAACATTAAATTAAAAAATAGTCTTCACAGGCAAATTAAGAACGGTAAAGTTAGCTTAGACGTTAAAAAAAATTACAGTAGCTTAAGAACCACAATCAAGCACCAAACTGCAAGAGAATGTCAGGCCTATTATGAGACAATTGAACAGAATGTCAACAATGACCCCAGCAGCTTTTGGGACTACGTAAGGTTTAAGCGTGCAAAGCCTGGTATTCCTTCAGAGGTTATGTATGAGGGTTGTGCCATTAGTGGTTCCCAGGAGATATCCGATACATTTGCATTGTATTTTGGATCAGTATTTCAACAGTCTGAGAAACCAAATTTAGATATATGTAATAGTACCAAACATTCTCCCAGGTCACCGAGGCGCAAGTTAAAGCAAGTATCAGAAGGTTAAAACCAAAAAAAGCAACTGGTAATGATAACACCCCTTCATATATTTACAAAGGGTGTTCAGATATATTGAGTGCCCCATTAATGGCAATTTTCAATCTGTCCTTAAGGACAGACACGTTCCCAGAGAAATTTAAAAGTGCATCTGTAACTCCAATATTCAAGTCAGGAGGGCCAGTTTAGTTAACAATTACAGACCTATCACTGTTCTTAATGCTCCTGCAAAGATTTTTGAAAACATATTGTATCAAGATATCCTGAACTCGTGTATAAGCAACTTTGTTCTTCAACAACATGGTTTCTTGCCAGGTGTCTCAACTTTTACCAATTTGAGCATCTTTACAGAAGCAGCAGCTGAGGCTGTAAATAATAAACAACAGTTGGATGTTGTGTTTACAGATTGTGCCACAGCTTTCGAAAGGGTTGACCATGACCTGTTGGTGGCTAAACTAGGTAGATCTGGTTTTTCTTCAACTGCATGTAAATGTATGGCATCTTATCTTACCATGAGACCACAACAGGTAAAGGTTGGCAGATCAGTATCAAACCAATACATAGCTTCATCTGGGGTGCCGCAAGGTAGTAACCTTGGTCATTTGCTATTCTGTATTTTCATTAACGACCTTCCAAACTGCATAAACAATTCAGAATGCCTCCTCTATGCTGATTACTTTAAATATTTAAGCCCATAACATCATCTAAGGATTGTCATGAACTACAGAAGGATTTAGATTTGGTATCCAATTGGTTTCAGGAAAATAAGATGTCGTTAAATATCGACAAATGCCATGTTTTATCTTTTACACGTAAAAAACAATACATAAATTTTACATACACGATTGAAAATGTACAACTAGGCAGTGAAAGCACATGCAAAAGGATCTTGGCGTCTACTTCCAAACAAACTTAACATTTGTCCAGCATTATGAAAACATTGTGAATAACTCTTATAAACTCCTTGGATTCATAATTAGGCATACACGACATTTCAAGGATATAAATACAATAATAACTTTGTACAACACTCTAGTGAGACCTAATTTAGAATGTGCATCAACTATTTGGTCACCACAAAGTATGAACTATATCGAAATGATTGAGAGAGTGCAAAAGAGATTTCTCAGATATTTGTATTCTAAAAAACATAATATATATCGCTTTATGATCTCATACAAGAATATGTTAAATGAATTTAAAATGGTCAAATTAGGCGATAGACGACGTTTGAGTGATGTTTTATTCCTCTACAATGTCACTAACAACCTAAAGTATGAGAAATGTGATTTATATAAATATGTATTATTTGTAGTTCCTAAAGTTAAACAGAATAAGAAAAAATAAATTGTTCCAGTGTCAAAAGTTAAGTAGCTCTCCTATAAATAGGATGATGTACGAATGTAACATTCTTATGCAACAGTGTGATTTAGACCTTTTTTGTACATCAGTAGGACAAATCAAAGCTGTGTTTCTAAACAGCACATTGCCTTGATGCCATTAGTATTATATATTATTTTATATATTATATACATTTTATCTCTGTTTTGCATTTTAAAATGTTGTTTTGTCTTTGTAATTTATTTTTTAGTAGGGGCTCTTACATTTAAATACATTTGCATGTGTTTGTAGGAGGATAAATAAATAAATAAATAAATAATTGGCGGTTCGGATAATCCGACTTTATTATATATATATTTTTTTAAATGGACAAATACATGACTGTTCTTAATTATTTTATTGTAAATAAAGTAGATTCACATGTTTTTATTTATTATAGAAAAGTCGACAAAAAGAACTTAAAAATGTATGTAGTATATATAAGTACAAATATTAATATGTCTTAAAATAACTGTCACTAAGAGTTTGTTTCTTCTGGGAGTTTCTCTTTCTTGCTGGGTAATTCCTCAGTCTTCTTAAAAGTAAAACGTTTGATGCGGTGGACTCGGTTTGCTGTTCTACTATACAAACTGTAAGGCTTTGTCTAAATCAGTAAAACCTTCTTGATTTGAAGTACGATCGACTATAATAACCTCTTTATCTTCCTCTTCTTTTCCAAGCTGGTTTACTTCTTCGGTCTGTTCAGAGGCAGCTATTTCCTATATAGAAAGCTCTTGCTCGTGGTCGTTAGAGGCAAACCATTCTCAAACATCTCCTTCTTTAGCGTCTTCGCATCCTTTTAATTTTTTCATTAAATCAAGCAAGCTCAACTCATCTTCATAGCTGCTTTCATCTTCGGCGTCTTTTAATTTTAGATCCAGCGTGCTTAGAGGCAAATCGTTTTCTGTGTCATCGTCCGGATTCCAAAGACTTTTCCAGGATTTTTTGATTGTGGATGATCGTACCGATTCCCATGCTTGACTCACCTAGTAGACAGCATCTTTTAAGGTAATCTGTCACAGAGATGTGGCAGGGTCGTCATTTTCTGTTAATTGCAACACATGTTCAAGAAACAACCGTCTATAATTCTTCAAGTTTCCAGGGACACCTTGATCCATGGGTTGTACAAGGCTTGAGGCGTTTGGCGGTAAAAATTTCACAGTGAATTCACCTACACGAAGGTTTCTCCCGGATGTGATGGGACATTCAGCTAACTGGCGCACACATATCTCTTCTTCTAACGAGTAAGCCAACCATCACTGGCCGTAAAATGGTCAAGATCTGGAAATTCCCTGCTTATCATGACGACTTTTTGTTGTAAAATTGGTCCAGAAAGGGGAATACCTTTTGCTCTTTGTTGCGTAAACCATGTAAACAGTATTCGATTAATTATTTCAAATTCTGACCGCTTCATGGATTTTCTTTTAAAAGAAGTCGAAACTTGCTTGCTGCACCACTGTTCAATATTCTTCCAATTTCTTATCCAATCCCCTACTGTTACCTTGCCTACCTCATATGCCCTTGCTATTGCTGCCACTGATTCACCAGCATCCGGCCTTTTAATGGCTTTTAACTTCTCGTCGATTGTTACAACAGTTTTTCTTTTACTTTTTTCCATCATTTATTTACGACTTATTTTATTATTGAAATTTCGTAAAAATATACATATATAACGCATGTTTGCTCCATTCAGCACCAAATGACACAGCGAACTAAATCCCCGATCGTCGACTTCTGATGTTGCGACAATTCGGTGATTCCCCGTAAAGAACATGCTATTTACACGTGAAACTCGAATAATACGGCGGCTTTTTCGGCTAATAGTTTTTTGCAGTATGTTTATAGGAATCATTCGGTTAATCCGGCGATTGGAAAATCGGCAGTCGGAGAATCGGGAGTCTACTGTACTTAGATAGTTTGGCAATTCATAGTATGTTTAGAGATACAGAAAATACGAATTTACCGTTTTCATTTTCTCCTGGCTTAATTGGAGTTGGGATTTCAATATAAATTAACAGAGGCACTTTTTACAAGCTTTGTACAAGTAACTACTAGTATCTTAGTTCATTAGTATGCATGTGCGAGACAAATCCAAATTTAATTTTGTACCAGTTAACCTGTTAACCAATCGAGCTGAAATTTTGTATGCCTGTTTGGGTCGTGTGACAATACATGAATTAAAACAAATGAAAGAGTTTGTTGGGAGAAACACAATAAGCAAACTAACGTCATTCTAAATCCAATATGACGGAGTCCTCAATTTGACGATCTATAATTTCCATAGTCACCCCTATAATATGGGCATCAAATGATAATGCAATATTAACTCACTTTTTTATGTGTAAATTCACTATTTTCTCATTTTTTTTTTAAATCTCAATTTTCTCACCTAAATTCATGCTTTGAGCAGCTACTACCCCTGTGGATGCTGGCTTTAAGGATGTATATTTGTTATAGAAACTTTACATATTGATGATGACCTCACATTTTGGAAGCCCCTGTATGTTTATCATTTGCTATAACGCTGTTTTGTAGATCGCCCGCGAGCACGGCATCCGGTTCATGGAAACATCAGCGAAGGCCAACATCAACATCGAACGCGCCTTCACTGAGCTGGCGGAGGCCATCTTGGACAAGACAGCGGCGGCGCAAGGTGGCAGGGGGGAGGGCGACCACGCGGACAGGGTTACAGTGGACAGGAGACAGGCGTCGCAGGGAGGCCGATCTTGCTGCAATTAAGACTGTAGATTGTGGTGTGTAGAAGCGGGTGTGTTGTCAGTGTGAACTGGCATGGCATGTGAGCGATTTGCTAGCCGCATTGTCAGGTGGTAGAGATTCACAGAAAGGGCTGTTAGGATTTAAATTAATTGATTTTTTACTCAAAATTTGAATTCCAATCAGAGTGTAATAGTTCTATTTCTAATTGGAACCTAATAAAAATCCGGGTTAAGGTTATATCAAAGTAGTAGTTTCTTCGTGTCCGATGGGAAAAATAAGGCGTATTCTTTAATTCACCGGTTGAGCAACCGGGTGCAACCAATTAATCCATTTTACTTCTTTTAATTTCCGTCTGAGCGACCGGTTGTACACCAAACTTGTCTATACACTTGTCGATATAGTTTATTATAAATTAAAGGAAGTGAAATTGGCTAATTGGTTGCACCGGTGGCTCAACCGGTGAATTAAAAAATACCCCTAATGTCTGATTCGTTATTTGCATAACCTTATTCAAAACTGACTCTTTTTAACGAATCGGTATTTACAGGTGCTTACAGCTTGCATCACCAATTTATTGAACAAATTTAAAAAATTGGCTTTTTTTCTCTGGTCAAAGGTCTTTATGTTTTTTAGGACGTTCTCAAAAAAGGTGTTTTGGAACCCTTCTCTAAAGTTGCTAGTTTTCCTAGATATAATCAATGCAATATTTGAAAAAATGTAGCGTATTATGTAACTTTGGACCCCGAAAAAAAAAGAATTTTAATGTTGTCGAACTTACTACGTATTTTTTAAACATCCATTAACAAAATCCCAAAGCATTTTAGGATCTATTCTTATTATTGTAAACCTTTGTTTTTTAATTGATAACCAAGTGCGCGCCCATAATGTTGCATCTCGCGCTCGCACAGAATATACATTGAGCGTGCGCTTTACTGACAACTAAAAAACAACACATTTACAATTACAATACCCTCTAATTGATAACTCAGATGCTGGGCCAAAGGGGTATCTGTCATAGGTGTTACACTTTATACTGATTGGGTTACTGGGTGGTTCCTGACGCACTCCACTTTCCTCTGCCTCAACTGGACTCCAAAACACATTTTTTTTATAACAGGTCTCTCGCGAAAGAACCATGCAGTTTCCTTGTGGAAAATGGCTTTCAGCTAAATTTGTTCATCTTTCATCATCATTTGTTCATATAGTTTTCAGCAACGCGATCAAAAGTTCCCCCTACGGAAGCCAGAAACACCCAGAACGGGTTATTAATAGATATGGAAGGACCACATAAATCTTAAAATAATGTTATTAGAGAAGCAAAACATACTGTTGCTAACATATTTGTCACACTTAATTTTTAAAAGTCGTGTAACCTATTTATCACCAGTAAAATGGACACAGCGGAAAATCTACTTTCATGTAGTACTTGAGCATTTTAACAACGCAACATTTCAAGGTCATGGTCAGGAAACGCTTCCCAGACTTCCTATAGAACAAAGAACCAACGTCACGATGCTTGCGGTCAGATGAATACTGAAAGTCTGAATTCTTAATGTTTCCATAGGTGAATTTTCTTGAAACTTAATAGAGATGTGTAGTTTATTATGCGCTTTCATTGTTATCAGTATAACGTACCTTTCTAGTAAACTTAGGTCTTCCAATATTGTCGTTACATTAGTCAAGTTAAGATGTTCTAATATTTGTATACCATCAGAACATTTTCTGCATTGATCATTGCAAACTTAGAGGGTGTAAATTATAATAAGAATTTGTAAAGTAATAAAAGGGAATGTTGTTTTAATATGGGCTAAGAGGTTAGGGTGGTGGAGGTTAAAAAAAGTCTGTACAACCAGTTAAAGGAAGACCCATTACGGCTGTCAGTTAAAATAAGCCACGTCAAATCCATGTTCATCAGTGGCCAGTCTGGAATAAATCTTGACAACAGTTCATCTTTCTCTGTCATAATTACATGTTACAATACTTATCTATCTGGGGAGATCGGGGAGGGGTTTCATAATCATGACCTTCAAATGTTGCGTTTACTTGACCTTGACCATAACCTTCAAGGTCGAACCCATTATCACCATTGGCCAGATTTTGAGAAATCCTAGTAACAATATTTTTTCTTCTCTAATAGTATTATTTAAGACTTATGTTGTCCTCCCATATCTATCAATCAAAATACTTGGACTTTGGAGTGTCTGGGTTCTGTATGGGCTAAGGGAGTGGTGTCAGTAGGTTGGAGCCATTGGGATTTTTGATCGCCATGTTAAAAATTACTTCTATACTAAATTTCAACAAATTTAGCCAAAAGGCGTTTTCCTTAAGGAAACATCCTGCAATATTTAATTTCGTTTTCATCCAGTCAGCGATTACTCGAGGCACAGTTAAACTGGAAACTTAAAATGACTTTAGTTTCGTTTTATTATGTACTTAACAATTCATAAACATTAAAACATATTTTTATGTGTATGACTTATTTCAACTTGATATCAAACGTAATTTCTATCGATCGGCATATGTAGTTATATCAGCCGATTCATATTGCCGATTTTTATAGTATTCATAGAAAGAACTGCCTCTAAATAAACTGCCTGTTATTTATATAACTGAAAAATTAAAGTAATCAGGTCAAATCATTTGAAAAGAAAGTCACGTTTTTTTAAAAGCGGTCTAACGCATCCTAAATTCTCAACCAATGTCGATGTACCAACAAACCATATCGGTTTCTTCCTCTCATCCAAAGATGATGGTAGCAATAATTCAGGCTGCAGGTTGTACTTTTTGTGATATTTGAATGATGAAAAGATTGAAATTTATTACACTAACGGCACGTTGATTATACAGGGTGTCCGCAAAGTTGGGGTTTTCCTTTTCAGAAACAACTACCCTTGAAATAACAGAGGTAATGTGTAGTGAAACGAGGGCGACCAAGTAAAAAAAAATAAAGGAAACAGTCTCTGCCCGAAATCATACCGCTCCAACAGAAAATGAAATCAGCTGATGCGCTACCGAGCAGACGCACCATGCCAGCCCAAACATTCACCGAAAATGTTTGTTGAAAATGTGCCCGACGGACAGCGTGCGGATTTTCTACTGACCAAACATGAGTGTTGCGAAAGTTATTCACCCCATTACGCGTGAACGTAGATTCGTCTGTCACCAATATGCACTCCAAAAAGTCCGGATTATTGTCATGTTGATGCAACAACCACTAACAAAAACGCACTCTTGCTGGAAAATCGTCAGGTTGAAGGTCTTGTACGCGTTGGACGTGAAACGGGTACAGCCCCTCTTCACGCAGCGTTTGCCACACTTTAGTTTTTGATACTTGCACTTCTCTAGTGCTTGTTGAGGGATTCTCGTCTACGCGATTACCTCGCGTGACCGTAGCCGTCGGTTGAAGGTTGCATACTGACCTGACACACTGACCCCGACCCCCGACCCAGTTCTGTCGTTGAGCCAGTGACATTGTTTTTTTTTTTTTTTTTTTTTAACGAGGGGGGAATGCATTTACGCACCATACCATAGCACGAGCTACGACGTGTGTGGGGCTCCAGGGTCTTGAAGAGATCACCTAATACCCACTAAACCCTAAACCTCCGCGTGGCCCGACTCATCAGCGTCTCGGTAGGCCATGTGTTGTGCGTGACCTGCGGTCTGCTACAACGTCTCCTCATGTGTTTCAGTCTCTGGGAACGCCGGGTTGGTTCCCTTTACCTCGCACATTCTATCGATGTCGTTAAGCGATCATCGATAGAGGGTCTGCTAGTTTCTCTTGAAACTCTTGTTTTCGAAAAATCAAGAGTTTCAAGTCCTCTTACCAATATTTTGTTCCTGGTCCTGGTCCTGAAGGGTCCTGGTCCTGGTGGGTCCTGGTCGTGGCGGGTCCTGGTCCTGGTTGGTCCTGGTCCCGGTGGGTCCTGGTCCCGGTGGTTCCTGGTCCTCTGCATCCACGCCGTGGGGGGGGGGGGAGCAGCCGCAAGTTCTCCTAGTCTATTAGTCAAGGTTCCAGTTAGCGGGTGCCATCTGGGACCTTGGTCTGGGGTACCTGGTTCTGCGGTTGCGAGGCCTCTCGTCCGGATCGTAGTCCATGAGGAATCGTAGCTGCTCGTTCGGGTGGTCCTGAGCTTTCTCGAAGGTCTTCTCCGGTTTTTTTTTTCCTCATGTACTCGTGGATGGTATCCCAATGCAGGTCTCTACGCAAGGTTGAGTTCCTTACGTAGGAAGGTGCATTGGTGGCGATCCGGAGTAGCTTCATCTCTAGAGCAGCAAGTCGCTTGCGGTAGCTGGGGGCAGCGTACCCCCAGACCGCGGAGGCGTAAGCGAGCTGAGGTCTGGCGATGGCCTTGATCAGCCGTAGCTTGGTCGCTAGCGGCATCTGGCTGTGTCTACCCAGTAATGGATAGAGTTGAGCCATGGCTGCTCTGGTTTTTGCGATGACAGCTTCTATGTGCGCTTTCCAGGTGAGGGACTTGTCAAAAACGATCCCCAGATATTTGACATTGTCGCTCCACTGGATATCTTCATCGAAGATGGATGCTTCGAGAGGTCTTGCAATCCTTCTTCGTTGAATGAAGATTGCCTGCGTCTTCTGGACGTTGATGCGGATTTTCCATTTCACGCACCAGTCCTGAATTTGGTCCAGTTCACCCTGTAGTCTCCTACGGATGATCTCGGGTCGTCTATGCTTGGCGGCTATAGCAGTGTCGTCTGCATATAGGGCCAGCATTGTGTCAGCTGTCTTCGGCACATCGTAAGTATAGATGTTGTAGAGCAGGGGGGCTAAGGCTGACCCCTGGGGCACGCCTGCTTCCAGCTGACGTCTTGTTGAATGGCATGTACCAATCTTCACCGTGAACCATATTTGTGTTAGATAGCTCTGGATTAGTTGGCACATGTTCGTATCGATTCCGGCGGCTTCCATTTTGGCGATGAGTCCATCGTGCCAAACTCGGTCGAAGGCTCGTTCCACGTCCAGCAGGACGAGACCGGTTGCCTCCTGGAGATTGAAGCCGCTGGTGATGTTTTCTGTCAGTCGTAGCGCTTGGAGTTCCGTGTTGTGCGAGGATCTGAAGCCGAATTGCTCTGGGGGGAGAAGTTGCAGTTCTTCTGCCTGCTTCTCTAGTCGAACGGCGATAGCCTTTTCGACTACTTTGCCCATCGAGGAAACCAGGCTGATGGGCCGGTAGTTCTGGGGCAACTTCCGGTCCTTGCCTGGCTTGGTGAGCATTATAACCTGGGCTTCCCGCCACCGCCGCGGGAAGTGGTTAAGTCTCAGGGTGGCATTGGCGATGTTGGTGAGCGCAGCAATGCCTTTGGTGGGAAGGTTCTTCAGCATCCTTTTGTTGATGCCGTCCCTTCCCGGCGCCTTTCTGACCTTCAACCTGCGGATGATCAGACGGATTTCCTCTGGACTGGAGGGGTGATCCGTCTCCTGGCCAGGTGGTCGACTCCTCATGTTTTCAGCTGCGACTTCCACGGCCTCCTCGTGGTTGTCGTCCTCGTCTTCATGGTAATTGAGTCTGCATTCGGATTCTAGCGAATCGGCGAATGCTTCGGCTTTTTCTTCACTGGAGTAGGCCAAGCCGCGTTGGCCGTGAAGAGTGGGGATCGTGGTGCGCTGACGACGAAATTTTCGCTGCATAGACCAGGCCGTACCATCCTGGGTCTCTAGTTCTGCACAGGCTGCATTCCATCTGTTGTTTTGGAGTTCCGCGAGTGCGTTCTTCAGAGCTAACGATGCTCTGTTTCGCGCAACTCTCGACTCCTCTGTCAACAGCTGGAGATGTTCTCGCTTGAGTCTTCTGTTCTCCCTGATCAGGTGCCTAATATGGTGCGGTGCTGGACCATTTAGGTGTCTAGGAACTGCCGTAGTCTCGGAGCGGGTGCTGTCCTCGTGCGCTCGCAGGACAGCATTCTCCAGCTCCTCTACTGCGTTGTCCAGTTCCTCCGCTGATCGGATGGCTGGAATTTGAGTGATGTTCCTTTGGACGTTGGATTTGTACAGGTTCCAGTTCGTCCGTTTGGTGCTCAAGCTATCTCGAGTTCTAGACCCTGTGCCAAGTGTTAGTAGAATCGGATTGTGGTCCGACGATCCTTCCACCAGGGTATCTATCTCGAACTCCTCTCTGATGTTGCGGAGGATGGCTATGTCCAGTACCGCAGGTCGCCCAAGGCCGAATGGAATGTAGGTTGGTTGCTCCGGACCGACGATGATCCCCGCCAGGGCATCGACGTGTTCCTGGAGCTGCCTTGCATTCCTGTCTTCGACGTTGTTGTTCCATGCCGGAGACTTGCAGTTTAGATCTCCGATGACTATGCGTGCTCCTGGGCCTCTCAGGAGGTCAGCGATGTCATCTTCGTCTAGGGCCCCTGGTGGCACATATAGGGAGGTG